ACACACACACACACACACACACACACACACACACACACACACACCGGGTTTTTAAGCACAGATGGATATACAAGAGTAGGGGAACATCACCATGAGGTTATGCATAATAATAAGAATTTTTTCAATGTCAAGGTCACTTTGTCAACAAGTTAATGTCAGAGCTACGTGAATAGAATAAAAATGAATATTAATATGAACGTTGATCATGATCAGGCTCATAATCACACAGAATATCTGTGTGTCTGCAGCATCCCACATTTCACATCATGTGTTTGACATGATTTTTACAGGAGAAATGTTTAGTTGACTTAAAAGAAATCTAAAAGTATTATTACTGATTAGTACATATTGTAATTCCAGCTTTGTAAAAGTGGGGATTCACTATTTTTGTCTATATATTTATTTTGAATTCAGTCTTTTGAAGTGTTGAAAGTTGCTTAAAAACAGTTAAAAAAAATGATTATTAGGTCATTAGGTCAACACAACCAAAAACTGCATGATTTATCAACCATGCAATCGGTGGATTTCATAACTAGATGTTCCTGATGAGGAACATTTTTAATATTTGAAAAACTCAATATTAGATCCACTTAAAAATATTTTTCTACCAAAAGTTTTTTTTACTCATACACCATCTAGCCGGGACCTTTCTGTGTGGAGTTTGTGTTTGCGTGGGTTCTCTCCCCGGATACTCCGGCTTTCTCCTACAGTCCAAAGACTAACTGCGTGTCTCTGGACTGTCGACCTATCCAGGGTAAAACTGTCGACCTGCCCAGGGTGTACCCCGCCTTTTGCCCTATGGTAGCTGGGACAGGCTCAAGCCTTTCTCCAGTGTGAAATGGTTGTACAGGATACATCTACATGCATGTTTAATCCATCCATCCTCTTCCACATAGCCTTATCAGAGTCGCCTATCCCAGCTCTCCTAAGGCAGGGTACACCCAGGACAGGTTGCCAGTCTGTCACAGGGCTAACACATAGAGACAGACAACCATTCACATTCACACCTATGGGCAATTTAGAATCCCCAGTTAACCTAACCCCACTAACTGCATGTCTTTGGACTGTGGGAGGAAGGCGGATTGCCTGGAGAGAACCCACGCAGACACAGAGAGAACATGCAAACTCCACACAGAAAGACACTGGCCCAATGGTGGAATTGAACTCAGGACCTTTTTGCTGTGAGGCAACAGTGCTAAACATCGGGCTGCCACCATACATCTTTAATTTCTTTCAAAAAACAAGAAAGAACAAGAAACTTATGCATCCAATTCTTGTTTTTGAATAATTTTAAGTGTTTTTCAACATTTTTATCTTGACTTGGCCAAGGTTTAATAACTTGTTGTTAGTGATCATGATCAACTAAAACTGGTCGTTTCTCTTCGTCAGCATTAAAGGGAGTTGTGGTAGCATCATGCTCAGGAGCTGTTTTGCTGCCAGTGGTACTGGTACATTACACAAAGTGGAGGAATAATAATAAAGGAGAACTTCCTCCGAATTCTTTAACTTTACCTCAAATCAGCAGCAAGACAGATAAAACTTGGACACATTTGGGTGTCCAAACCGACAATGATCCCAAACACACTTCAGATGTGGTTTTGGATCGATCAGGCTAACATTAAGCTTCTGGAATGGCCTCCCCAAAGTCCTGACCTCAACCCTATTGAAAATTTGTGGACTGCGCCTAACAGCAGAGACCATGCTAGCAAACCAACCAATTTAAATGGACTCCACACCTTCTGCCAAGAAGAGTAGCCAATATTCAGAAGCTTGTTGATGACTACAAAAAGCATCGAGATGTGACTTGCTTAGGGACATTTAGCCAAATACTAGTGGGAATGTATGTATATATTTCAGCTTTTACATATATATGTAATTTTGAATGGATTAGAGAAAATCAAGAGTAAATTCAAACTTTATTTGCACCAAGATCTGTTTTTAAACTCATTGCTGTATAATCATTCCAGCCTGGAAAAAGAACAGTTTAAAATCACCATAACATTTCTGCACATGGTGAGTGTATTGTAATTCTGACCTGTATGGTTGTGATAAATAACAGCGACCACAATTATGACTTCATGCACATGACAGCATAATAGGTCAACTTCAAATGATCAATGATACCAAAAAAAAAAAATCAGTTTCCCTTCACAGAAAGCCTGAAAACGTTCACTTTTCGAAAGCTACTACTTTCAGTGATTTGGGGACATTATGCCTAAAAAAAATACTCATCAGTTTTTAAATGTATTTTCCACTTTGTAGAAAACACCTCAGAGAAAATTTAATAACATCATGCTGAATTATCTGGTGCACGAAAAGAAAACAACACCACTGTAAAGATGCAGCGCTTACCCTGCAGACCAACTTTTTTAAAGTCCCTGACAGTTAGTTAGTAAGCGAGTTATAACTTTAAAATGCACCTATATATAATATTAAACAAGGAAAAGCCAGCTTTCAGCTCCAGAGCTGGACAGGTACAGACGCACTGATGCTTCCTCGGCTCCAATGAAGAAAAACAACCCTGTCAGAGGCAGCATGGCAGAAACAGAATCGCACCGACAGTCCTTTCTCGCACCCACACGAGCTCGGCAGTTAGCCGCGCGTGCACTACTATTACATCTGCATTACAGGGTAAACAGGTCCAGAAAAAACAACAACAACAAGACAACAGCCCCAGCTAGACTCACCCTGAGCTGCAACCCGAGGGCCTGACTCCAGCAAACTGTTTGCAAAACACAGTGAAACGTGCAGCCAGGCTAACAGTAAATTTCCACTGAAGGGGCATCGACGCGGAGCCAGGCTAGTATCCACAGCTAGCTAGCAAACCCGCTAGCACCTGTTCGACAGCGCCGAGGATGAGAAATGAAGCCAAGTTCACTGAATCTGACAGCTACAGGAGGACGGGTGGATGGACGGAGAGCTTCGGAGGATGAAACACACATCTCTGTTCTCCAGCACACAGCTGGCTAACCTTCACCTCAGCACCCGCAAATGACAGCAAACGTACCTTCCTGATGCCTCAAATCCAGCTCGGACGCAGCAGTTCATCCTTTTCCTGAGCTGAAGCCGGGGTTTAGTTTCCTACGCCGAGGAGCTTGACATTCTCCTCATCCTGGTGGTGTTTTCCTTTTTTCAGTCCCATTCCTGTGTCAGTGACGTTCACTTCCTGTTCCCATCATATTCCAGCAGCAGCAGCGGCGGACATCGGCTCCCACCCACCGTCTCTGTGATAGCACAACAGCCTGGAAGCAGCCAGCTGATCAATTATTCATCCCACACTGCAACCGAACAGACAGAGACGACCGAAGGCGCTGCTGCACAGACTTGTGTTGTTCGACTAATCACTCATCACGCAAAATTCAACCATTTCAATCAGTTTTAAGTTATGCAATGCAGTGGATAAGCTTGTGCACTGTGAAATGTCCAAATTCGAGGAGTGTGCAGAAACATGGCTGTCCAAACTACTTGCACCAGAAACAGTCATCATTTCTGGCCAGTGGACCAGTGGAAAGAAGTGAAGTTTCAATGACCTTGACCTTTGACCATAAAAATCTAACCAGCTCATTTTTCAGTCTGAGTGAACTTTGTCCCAGATGTGAAGGAATTCCCCTGAGGCCTTCAAGAGAGCAAATCATGACACTGGGATGGACGGACACACTATAATCGGACATAGTTAATGGAAAAAGTGGCAATTAAATCCACAAATAAAGCCTTAAATTAAGCTTGTTGACTAAAATTAAAAATAAAACACAACTTTAAAGTAAAGTTGTGTTTTGTCTCTTACCCACTTGACTCCAGGTAAGCGACAGATCGGGATTGTTGTCTCTGTCCTCTTTCTGTCAGTCTGTCTGGTTAAAGCCGCACTCACACTGGCCTAGGAGAATAGTTAGCAAACACCAATCACACCGATCCCTGGGGAAAATATGTATTCCCTAACAGCAGCCATGTATATGATGAAAATAGGCATTTCAAGCTTTTAGAGGTTGCTGGAAGTTGCAACGATTTTCAGCTGTCAGCTGTTCTTCAATAAAATACTGGGCTTCAATTAAGAAAAAAACAAACAACTTACATTCATGGTTTGGTCATGTTTTCAAAACCAAAAATTTCTGAGAATAAAGGTGTTTTGTTTTGGTTTTTTTACACCTCTTGAATGTGTTCATCCAGGTTCATTTAGTTAATATTTGATTTTATTTGATTGTGTGTGTTTTCTGGTTGCATGCGGGTTTTTATTGTGTGTCCTACAAAAATAAATAAGGCAAGAATATTACCCAAATATGAAGCAAAGATTTGTGGATACACACATGGACCTGAAAACATGCTGTGTTTTTTGTTTTTTCCAATTTAAAAAAACTACACCAACAAGCATTAAACCTTAATGCATGACTGCTCGTATTAATATTCATATTTAGAGCTGTTATACATGTTTAACTGTATGCATAAGTTTCTTGCTGGAGCTGGGATTTTGACCCATCAGACAGAAACAAGTCATCACTGAAGAAAAGCAAAGACTCATTTTTTTTATTAGTGAACACAAGAAAACAAACAGAGTCGTGTTTTTAGATAATTCACATTTTAATAAATTAACTGTGAAAAACAATTCAGTTTTAACCCCGCTGTTTCTCATCACATCTTTCACAATATCTTCTCTTACTGCAAGATTTTGCTTTCCTCCCTTCCTGTGCTCTTACTGGCCAACAGCACCACCTATTGATGAGAAGGAGTAATGTCACTTACAGACTCGTGGGATGACTTTAGAATTATTTTCTTTATCGGAAGAGCTAAAAGGCTGAGTGAGCTTTAATAACTGGAAATAAGATGACCTACTACACTGATGACTCAGAGTTTAAATCAATAAATCTCAGATTTCTCCATCATGAGCAGAGAGAAAACTAATTTGAACTTCCTCAATTTCTGTCAACTACTGATGTAAAAACACTGATGGTTTCTTTCCACACAGGAAAGAAAAATTTCCACCACCTCGGTTTGTTGATTCTGAGCTCACAACGATGTGTTTTTTGATCTCCTTTTAATGCTTGAAGTCTGAAGTGAAAAAAAGACACCTTATTCTGCCGCCTGTTACAGACATCCTGATTTGTGGATCCATCATTAAACACCTCCCACGTTCCTCTCAGGTTTGAGGCAGGCTGCGGTAGAAGGCATCGTCTCTGCGGTGCTGCTGGACCGGCATGTTCCTCCTTGTGCTTCTAACTTTCCCCAGGTCCACCTCCACAAGCACCAAACCTGGCTTCTCCCTCCCGCAGTCACCCAGCACCTCGCCCCAGGGGTCCACGGCCAGGGCGTGTCCGTATGACGAGCGCTTCTCATGGTGGCGTCCAACTTGTGCCGCTGCCAGGACGAAGCACTGGGTCTCAATTGCCCGGGCACGTAGTAACACCTGAGTGTGAATTCATTTAAAGGGACATTTTTATGTTGGTTTATACCTCACAGCAATCCAGCTGTCCTATAATGAGCCAGCTCACCTCCCAGTGAGCAGCTCCTGTGGCTACAGTAAAGGCTGACGGGTATGTCAGGATCTCAGCCCCGTGCCTCTGCAAGGCGACCGACAACTCAGGAAATCTTAGATCGTAGCAGATGCCCAAGCCCACCTGGATTAAGCACACGGTCAGTAGAAACACAAAGTGCACATGCCAACCTTAATGTTACTGCACTTAATCAGTGCTTTGGTGTTTCAAACACTGCAAATCATCATCTTTGAAGTAGTCCAAACAAGACCTTGCAGGATAAATAACCCTGACTTACTTTTGGTGGATATTTAACATCAAATGTAAAGAGAAACTTCAAGTTTCTGTGAAACCAGCATGAAAACTGTAGTAAATATTCTTATTTCATTTACCTTTTTTCTCAGTTGTCATCTTTCCCTCATTTCCTCTCTGAGTTTCTTTTATCTTAACTGACCTCACCTGGCACACATGTAAGGACTGTAAAATAAAACCAGCTGCAGAATCACTGCTTTCTTTTGCATTCTGACTGGATTCCCATGATTATAGCAACCTTAGCTTACATTTGAACCCCTAAATAACTAAATGTTTAATTTAATAAGAGGAATTAAAATTAATTTGCATGTTTAAAATCTCTTAAAGTGACACCTTTCCGATTGGAGTCTGGACCGGGGCCACGAGGGAGGGTCCAGGAATGGTGAAAGCGCTTTCTTTGAGGGACACGCCTTTTTCTGGCAGCTCCACATCGAACAAGTGGGACTTCCTGTAGACTGAAACGATGTCACCTGTGGAGGAAACGACAGCGTGTCAGCGTGAATAAACTAGATTTATTTTAAAGGGCTTTAAACAGAGACAGGGAGGGAGGGCAGACAAGGGAAAAGCACCTCTATCGTTAATTATGACGTGACTGTTGTAGATCCGTCGGTCAGCCTCCCAGTCGTGTCCCCTCTCATGAAATCCTCCAAGAGACAACCACAACTCCAACTTCCTGAAAGAAACAGCGATTTAAATACTTATCCACACGTTTCCAGCTGACTCCAGTTCATGCACACTATGAAACCAAGAGCACATTTTGCCTTAACAAGCTGATTTTACCAACATTGCACTTAAGCAGTTAGTGAGAAGTTAATCTCTCCAGTGCGTTTCATTGTTGGCGCTGGATAAAAGAGCCTGAAGGCTGTGTGCTTACCTGGCCAGCTGAGTGTATCTGGAGATCGTGTCTCCTGCCAGGCTCTCTGACAGCGCCAGCGTCTCCTCTCTGCTGGATCCAATGTAGTCAAAGCCCTCAGGCAGGAAGACCATGCTGGCCCCTCGCTGCTTGGCTTCCTCCACCAGCTGTTTGCAGGCAGAGAAGTTGGCCTCTTTGTCAGGGGTGGCTGTCACCTGACAGACAGCGGCCAGCGGGCGAAGTGAGCCGGACATGCTGCGCAGAGAAGAGGTTGTTTTTCAGCTGCAGGCTGAAGAAAACGTTCAGGTCAACCACCACCACAGCTGATCATTAACTACTGCTCTTACTACTCTGTTATACAGTTACTGACTGCAGCTCACTGCACTCACTGTGGCTTTCAAGGACAGGTAGACATCTGTAAAACGAAACCTACAAATAAATCAGTATTTGAACCAACTCTTCAAGTTTTTATGCTCTTATTTGCTGACATAACCCAAAATTTGCAAATTCATGACACTTTGTTACAAAGGCTAGCTCACAGCTGTAAGAATAATCAACAACAACAGCAACAACACACCTGTTTTGCAGCCTGGTGTTGTGCCTCAAAGCTGGGAACGAGACCAGAAACTTTGCGGATGATCCCAAAACGCACCTGAGCGTCAACATCGGCCCCAGACACTGTCACCTTCCCTGATTGGGCGATTTTAGTATCATCATATAAACATTTACTTCTGTGTTCTGCTCTGTCCTCTTCAACAGGAAGAGTTAAGGTTCATTCTTCTTCTCCTGTGAGCTCAGACATAAAGCACACCAGCTCCACCTAGTGGAGAGTCATCGTATTGGCCTGTGAGTAACAGAATGCTGAAGAAGCACCCTGAGAGCGCAAATCTCTACCACGGCAGCTCACTATCTGAGCAGCATGTACTTTTAAGGTAAATCAAGTAATTTTATATATAAACATGTTTTAGGAAGTTGCCAAGTGCTTGCAGTAAAAACAACAAATATTCAGGTCAACTTGAAAGAAAGGCAGATGTGGTCAAATTTGATATATTTGATGGAAAATCAAAAATGAGTCTTTCAACTGCTGCAGTTTCCACAGTTTTCACTCTACAGTCATCGTTTTACCATCAAAACTTAGGACTGTTTGTCTTCTTTTAAACAGTGCATTTCTCAAAGCTAAGGGATGTAAATGTTTAGAAATGTGTGGATCCAAGTAGAGGATGAATCTTCTAACTGAAGCATAGAATATAAAAAACTAGATAGTGTTTTCAGTGAGGACCTTGTCTCAACAGCAGGGAAGACCCTACTTTTTAAACTGCTCATGTGACCACTTTATTGACATCAGGAACATAAAACACACACCGTTGTGTAGGACAAGTCCTCAGCACCCTCACGGTTATGGTCTTGATTTTGAAACTTTTGTTCAACAAATGTACGGAGGCAGATTTCACAGGGATTTGTCACAGTATTTGCTGCAGTAACACTGAAAGCTGTTGGCAGTTGTTTTCAGATGGTGAATTTAAATATATGGGAATGATGGGTCATCCTGATTGGCACATTAACTTCAGGCTTGTTTTTCATTGGCGGACTGTTCTTCAGCAGACAGGTGGTTCATATCTGGGCAGTTACAGTCAGTTTTAGAATCTGTGGTGGATTGTCCCGCACGTCTACTCAACTAACCTAATTGAAAGCCTCTGTT